TCTGCAGACAGTCAGCATGAGACACATGGACCCTCTTTTGAGGGATTAAATAAAAGCAGAACACATTGATTTTATGTCGGTTTTCTGCAAGAGCTGCATTTCACTCAGGGTAAATTGTCATTTTAGGTTCGATAAAAGGCATGTTTGTTGATGATGGTGGTAGTTCAATGAAACTTTTCCCTTGGGACACAGTGGGTTATTACATTTGCCCACTAACTGCATTTTGATATGTGACACCCATCTAAAGTCCAGTTTTTTAAAGCTTTTTTCCCTAGTTTATGAGTTGAATCTTAATTGTAAAATATATGCATACATGAAGGAACAGATTGGATGGGGTTATTGATGGTGGGTAAGCTTTCACTGCTGGGTCCTTAGCATGTTAACTTGCTCCACAAGGGTAACTCTCTATAGGAGATTTTGGTGCCAAAATGAAAAACCACTTCCCATGCCCAGCTGGCCCCAGTCTTGCCCTAGGGCACTAAATTGTGGCCCTGTTGGCCCTATTAAGGCCTCAGGACACAAGTTACCTTATGGGATGTAATCATGGCCTCCTGCCACCCCCATAGACATACCCATGCCTCACAGGTGTTACTCGTCCCCACTGGGACACGACCCCTCAGACCTCAAACCTTTATCTAGGCTTCAGCCTTTCCGGCTGTGCGGGCCGACTCCCAATCCCGCCTGGATCGCCATGTGCGAGCTCTCTCCCGATCCCATTTGGGTCGCCATGTGCGAGCCAGGGCGAGCCGGGGACCCGTCTTTGTGTGTACACAGGCTGTGGCCGGTAGCCCGGGTACACGGGGTTGGAAAAGACCGCGGTGCGGTATGACACGCTCTAGCTAGAATCAGTCACGGAGGCGTAATGGTTGATTGAAAAGATTATTTACTTACACCCAAGGTGGTCGCGATGTAGGCTGGTCAGCTTTCCAGGCTCAGCTCCGCTTGAGTTCTCAGTGGAGGACTCTAATACACTCGATTCCTTGACCCCGGAGTGATTCAGGCTCTGCGGGGTTCAAGAATTCGTTCCCACGGAGCAGCTGTATTTCCGTGAGTGTTACTCGGTTCCCAGGTCCCTCAGAGCTGTTAAACTCCGTGGGCTCGACAATTGGGTCCTTAGGATAGGGATACGTCTGGGCTGCGATCGGCGACAGGGAGAGGCTAGAGGTTAGTTGCCTCGGAGTCATTAAGGCTCTGAGGGGACGGTAAATAAGTCCCACGGAGTTGTTGAAGCTCCGTGGGTTCGATAAATTAAACCTCTGTTGCCTTCTTAAGGAAAAAGCTGGGATCGTATGGATCAGCAGCACTTAGAGATCCTCACGCTCCTTTCCCGAACTCCACGTGCTTTCTTTTTCCCTCTCCGATTTGGGCGGAAACCACCCAAGCCTTTTGTACGGCTAGCAAGCCAATAGCTAGCCGCCACGTGTGCTTACATTAAGACTGGCCAATAATGTGGCGCGAATCTTAATACAAATGGCAGTGACTCCTTGCATCGCGCATTGCTATAATGCAAAAGAAATGCACCATGCAAAGAAAGCTACAGAACTGGCGGGAAAAGCTCCTGCACGCGGGGTCTCTGTTGCAGCAGAACACTCCACCGTGCAAAAGAGCTGCAATTTGGCGGGAACATGATTTAGCGATGCCGAAGCACACACAAACAAGAAAAACCACAACTTTGGGTTGTGACACTGGCCTTGGCCTTTTTACTCTGGCTGCACCCTTCAGCCTCAGACCTTGGCTCCTGGGCCTCTGGCCCTATCTCTGTTGCAGCCCCCTGTGTTCCCTAGTCCTGGCAAAGCTGCCTTTGGCACAACCCCATGGTGCCTCAGCCCTGCAAAATTCTACTCTGGGAGCCCCTCAGGTGTCTATGTGGTTTCCATACCACCCCCATAGCTACAATCCAGTCTTTTAGTCTTAGATGTAAACATAACACAAATATAAGAAACTCACTTCCCAAATAAAGTTCTGCCCCACTCTGGGTCAGTGCTACACCAAAAGCCATATTTCCCTTTTAGTTTTCTCCTTCAAGCCCTGTTGGGTAGCTTAGATGCCAGTTGCCTTGTTTCCTGAAGCCATTTCCCCTTTGAGCTCCTCTCCCTGCAGTATGCAGAGCTAGGCTGCCAGCTTTGTCTTGGGCCTTGGGCTTACATGCCTCAAAGCTACTAGGGCTGTGCAAAATTTCAACCGCCATTTTGTTTCAGCGGTGTTTTGAGCATTTCAATGATGGAAAATCTGAATATGAAATGAAACAGGAGACATGCTGAAATGTTCGAAATGAAATGAAACAAGTCAAAACGTTTCAAACATGTTTCACCATTTTGAAGGTGTTTCAAAGCTGGGCTTGCATGCAAAGAGAATGTAAGGAGAGAGAAGGAGTAGAGGGGGGAAGAGACTGACATCTGTAGCTGGCCAGCATCTGCCAATGGTCCCTGAGGTCCCTTCCAATCCCAGTGCTCTGGGGGAGGGACCTAAACCGTTTAAAAACAGCATATAAGCCTCTGAGTATCTAAGCTGTCAGCCTTTGTCAGCCTGTCTCTCACCAGAGAGCAGTATCTGAAAGGCACTGACTCTGACTGCTTCCTAGATGCTACTGTCTAGCTAGGGTGTGTGTCTTCTACTTGCAAAGGATTGGATAGGATATAGCTTACACTGACAGCTTAGCTATACTAGACTAACTTCAATACTAGTATTGTTATCGCTATATAATTTCTTTTTTC